AATTAAGATATACTACACTCCAGGTGTTTTTGTGATGAATGTGTCTTTGTAATGTGCCATCAGATTTTCGTCTGATTCCAATATCTAGGAAATGGAATTTGCCTTCAACTTCCTGTTCCATAGTACATTCTATATCCTTGTGTGCTTTATTAAATAGGTCGAGTAGTCTAATGGAGTGCTTGTGATTGTTGCAGACGAGAAATGTGTCATCAATATATCTACAATAGAGTGCAGTACCATCGATTGCATGCTTAAGCTTCTTTGGTTCCAGGTTTCCCATAAATATGTCGGGCAGAATTGAGCCCAAAGGGTTACCCATGGCTACTACATCAATTTGGCGGTAAAAGACATTATTGAATTGAAATTGTATGTTTTTAGTACACAAAAACAGGAGCTATTCAAATTCATGAATTGGTAAAGGTAGAAGTTCAGGATATTCACATACGATCTCTACCATTTCTTCCAAGGGGATGTTTGTGAAGAGCGATGAGACGTCAAATGAAACCATAAATTACCAGAAACATTTAGGTTGTCAAGCTTTTGTACAAATTCAAAACTGTCTTTTAGACTGTAGGGTACTAGTTTCTTTCGGATTGGTTCTAAGCACCTTGTCAGCCAGCGGGAAAGTTTATGGAAGGGTGAATTAGTCATGGATAATATTGGTCTTATCGGGATATCGGGTTTGTATGTTTTGGGTAGGCCATATAAGAATGGTAATTGTGATTCTTTTGGTTTGAGTTCATTGTATTTATGATTATCTATTAGATTTTTCTTCAGGAGTTCGCTCAATTTTTTCAAAAGACGCTTCTCAGTCGTCTCTGTTAAGTCTTTCTGGGTATTATCGATGATAATTCTAGTGAGATCATTCAAAATAGACATCACTTTGCTAATGTATTCACCTCTGTTAATAATGACTATACCGGAACCCTTATCTGGACGAAGTAGCAATATTGTTTCATCTTTCACAAGTTTTTTTAATGCTAGCTAGTGATCTTTAGTTAACACCGATTGTGGGATTGATGTCATCATGTACTGGTTAGTAATATCAACTAATTTCGATTTCAAACAACTATGTTTTTCATCGTTCATGGGTTTAAGGTTTGACAATTTTTGATATAAATACTCAAATTGAGTTTCGGTGTCTATTCTGCTACATTTTTTCGGAATATGAAACTTAAATCCAAGGGAGAGTGGGTCAGTTTCAATTCAAGTTAGTTTTCTACTAGATAAATTCTGTATGTACTTTTCTGGATTAGTAGGAAAGGCGTTCAAGCATATATATATTCCAATACATATGTGGTTGTAAGCAACTGACGAGAAACCACGAAATATAATGAATTCATATTATTCTGTATCAATGTTTGCTCTGGCTTTATTTATTGACTATTTGTCTGTATTAGAAATTAGTCATTAAAGACTCTTAGCAGTGCAGCAATTTGAAAGACTCTCCCGGTCTCCCACATTGTACGATCATTCCATGTACCTAAATAAATGGTTGCTCTGGTTGTCAGAAGGGGCATCAGCCTAGTGACTTCCGGAGGAACTCGGCTTTCATCATGAAGCGTCATAACTCTTCTAAATGAAGACCTTCTGACTCCCAGGGTAGAGTTTAAAAGGTTTGAATACTTTCTTCTGGTTAGCGACTTTTTGGCGAGTTAGTTTCCTACGGGATGGAGTCGCTAACCACATGCCCAACCCTCCTCCTTCGTCTGAGCTTGGGACCGGCAGTAGCCTCCGGAGGGATTCCAAGCGGAGTTCATTAAGGACTCTAAGTAGTATGAAGTAAGAAATCCCATTGAAGTTTGTTGAATAGATATAAACATTTTAGATTATTAATTGATGAGGTAAACGTTTTACTATTTTAAATATTGATTCATGGTGATACATTATTTGAATAGTTTTATTGGACTATTTATTTATTTTTTTCAGTTCGAACCAATCAATACTAAATTATCCAAATAGTTTCCCACGGGGATTTTAAGTCGGTTAATAAATTATCTAAAGATTTGTAATTAGTAGTCATGGGCTAATATTTTCACATTGTTTTGATAGCCTGATAACATAATGAGATCTAAATTTTTAATAGGCTTTAAGCAATTATATTCATTGCTCATTTACACAATGGTATATTGCTCTATTATAAATTAACTTCATAGTTGTATAAATATACCCTTGTGGGCCAGGGTAATTTTACATTGGTTTTCAGGAGGACCAGACACTATCCAAACTTTCACGTGACAACCCAAACAGTACAGCTCAATTCCGTTTAACAGAAGAGCCAGTATATACAACAAAATTATGTGAAGTCAGATTGGAATCCGATATCTTCTGGTTGAAAGTGAACTACAGTCATATTGTTACACAGATAATTTGCATAGTTTTTTTTATCAGCTAAATATATGAATGATTTATTGTTATGTTAGGTGGTTGTCCGATTATGGTACCGATATACACGCTTCCAATGTGTGTGTTCAACTAGCTATTTAAGTAAACTTTCAAAGGACAAATCGGAAACTTTATTAGGAAATCCGAATTAAAATGCCTGCACAGATTTATCCATAAACATAGATATATGTTTCTCGGATAACTGAGGCTGATTTCAACCGATAACAAGCACCCATCAATCTCTTTAACCAATCAATTAGCTTTGAACTGGTATATTTGAACGGCCTAGCCTATCGTCTTTGCTTCCTAAAATTGGGTCCTCTCACATGATTTAAAATAGGGTCACGTTGATTATTAAAGTAAGAATATGAAGAAGATAATGCACATTTAATTCTGCTAACAAATCACATAATCAACGAATATTTCTACGGTAGCCAGTAAAGATAATCAAGATAAATCTCAACTTAATCGATAAATATTGATATGAGCCATCTAGACTGAAATATTAGATATCTTGTTATCTGGTATATTCGGAAATATTGTTTGTTCTCTTTTCTTTGATCTTCTTAACCTTCACCTTCCAGACATTTCACTTTTGATCGATGATACACACTACTTATATCTATCAACATCAGTAGAACACACCACATACAATTACTGTTTTTATTTTTCAAATTAATGACTATACATTTTCGCTTTTACTTAATAAGTTCGTTACAGTTTCTTTTCACTTGACACTAATATACTTTCTAAAGAAAATGTTTTTATAGACAAGTTACTTTTGACAGTTATTAGATGGAATCGATTTGACAATGAATTTTATTGTTTAATATTTTACCTTTAAAAGTTCTACAAGTAGTGAGTAAATAAGTGATTAGTTCTATTCTCAAATGTATGTTGATTATACTACTTTACAAACTTGCTTTTATTAACACTTAACCATAAGCAAATCATACACATATATACACACAATATTATTCTTGAAAGCATTGTAATCAAATATTTCATTCTTTCTTATACAAATTAACATCTTTAAATAGTACAGACAAATTATTCTGATTTTTAAGTCCCATGCCAAATAAAACATGAATATAGATAGATAAACAGGTTAAGTACATAAGAGAATGAAACTCAGTTCTTCACACACACACACACACTCTGTGATAATTCGGTTTATTTTAATAGATATTTCTTCCGATCCGAAGTCAGATGCCTTATTCATCAGGCCACGGAGCCCACCATATGCCCTGGTACGGCCAAGCGTGAGGAGAGTGCATTCTCCCTCTCGAAATGCTCTCACATGGCTATGTGCATACAACCACTCCCAGGGAATTCTTACTCAATGCCTTCTCATGATACGGGTGTTGTTTACGAAATTGAGAGGACAAAAAATCGGATGTCCAGCCCTTTAACCGAGTAGGTGGATACGGAGGATCCACCTAGGGGAGTTGGAAAACCCCGATTTCAAACCAATGGTGCACCTGGACTTCAGGATCCTAAGGAAACAAATGGTCTATGAACCAATTATTGGTCACCGGCTACCACGGGACTGCATCTCTTTAGGTTGTTCCACTGCTTTGTGGATTAGACCTTTAAGTCAAAGGCTCCAGGTGTGGCCCCCAAAGAAAACCATCTACTTCAGTTTGAGCACCCGAGCAGTATCCTAGCCCTACATAAATCAAATGATTTATGTAGCGTATATCTACTTGGCACCTCCATACACCAATGTTTATGTGTTTAACTAAATAAATAATAGATATATCAATAGAGAATTGCATTACTACAGTGAATAATCCGTTCAATATTGGTTTATTTAAAAGTTCTTTATCTATTTTATTGTTTCAAAAAGAAAAAAAACACTTCACCTCTATAAAACTTTTCTATTATATAAAAAACAACAACATATTGCTGCTCAGTTATTCAAGAGTTCTCATTTCTAATTGCGTGTATTTTAGAATGTGAATGAATGAATGAATGAATAAATGAATATGTAAGTATGACAGATTTCAATGAATAAAGAAAAAAAAAGTATTTTATTTAAATAATGTTATTTATCAAAGAGCGCCATTTTCGAAAGAAAGAATGTAAGGAAGAAAAAACAAACAAACAAACAAAAAAAACAGAATTTAAAACTAATCACATTGAAGTATAGAATAAGAATGGAAATATCTCTACGAAATCACTTCGATTCGGATAATTTTCTTCTATCTTATATCCATGTCTACACATATCCCCAGACATACACAAAAACACAACTGATATATGTATATCCTTTAGTTCACCAGTTTTCTTGCATAATAGCCATAAAAATTAAATTAAATCTATTGCATATATATATATATATATGTATATATGTTAGCTGGATAAATGAAAAGAGAATGGATTAATATACACAGTAAATAAGTAAGAGAGAAATGTATAAATGTGAATGTCTGCATGAATTTATATATGTATGTGACAATCAGGCATAATGAAATATTGGTAAATAAAGCTAACTGGTTATATTGTTTTTAATGCAACAGTTAGTTTATCTTTAGTTTCAAGAGAAAATAATTCATCATCGTCCTCTCATACATTAGTAAACTTCAATCAATTTATCTGTTATTTCTTGTTATCTATGATGATGATGATGATGATGATGATGATGATGATGATGATGATGATGATGATGATGATGATGATGATGATGATGATGATGATGATGATGATGATGATGATGATGATGATGATGATGATGATGATGATGATGATGATGATGATGATGATGATGATGATGATGATGATGATGATGATGATGATGATGATGATGATGATGATGATGATGATGATGATGATGATGATGATGATGATGATGATGATGATGATGATGATGATGATGATGATGATGATGATGATGATGATGATGATGATGATGATGATGATGATGATGATGATGATGATGATGATGATGATGATGATGATGATGATGATGATGATGATGATGATGATGATGATGATGATGATGATGATGATGATGATGATGATGATGATGATGATGATGATGATGATGATGATGATGATGATGATGATGATGATGATGATGATGATGATGATGATGATGATGATGATGATGATGATGATGATGATGATGATGATGATGATGATGATGATGATGATGATGATGATGATGATGATGATGATGATGATGATGATGATGATGATGATGATGATGATGATGATGATGATGATGATGATGATGATGATGATGATGATGATGATGATGATGATGATGATGATGATGATGATGATGATGATGATGATGATGATGATGATGATGATGATGATGATGATGATGATGATGATGATGATGATGATGATGATGATGATGATGATGATGATGATGATGATGATGATGATGATGATGATGATGATGATGATGATGATGAAAATGCAGTGAGTCTTTATCGATTGAGGTGGTTGAAGTGTATATTTCGTACCCCTGATTACCATTCACCTCTCTCAAAAACGTGATATTTAATAGTGTAGTAGTAGTTTGTAGGGTAGCTAAGGTAGATCAAACTAAAATTCAGAATCTGTGTACGAAGTCATTAACTGCTGAATTAAACTATGTAGGTAGGTTAAGAGTAACTGGTCAGGATCCATCCTCTTGTCAGAACCAATAGCTGAAGAGACTGGGTCACATCGTCCAAAGTCTGTAGCGATGAAACAGACACCTTTACGCATGTCCCAGGTTCTATGCTGCTTATTATCGACTAACTCCTCCTATTTCCAGTGAGAATTTATAAATTAACGCGTTCAAGCATCAAACGGTTTTAATCGTATACTCCTGAGTCTCATACTAATCCAAAATAAATGCACAGTACTTCCTACTTTTAATGGCACCCCAACAACACAGACAACAGAGAATATCACAGATAAATTTTTAAAATTCATACATTATAATACCCATTTACATAAGCTTACACTATATTAATTTCTACGTGAAATAACATAGTTTATGGACATAGATTATTACTTCACTCATTCACAATTATTGACAGCCGATAGACGCAGACGTAAGCTATTAACTTTTTCGTACCGTACATCTAGATATATGTATTACATCATCATAATCCACATCATCATGGATGTTTGTTTGAGCTATTTTCTTCTATAAGAATTGTAGACTGATGTCAATCAGAGGAGCATCAAAAATCGTGGGATGGTAAACAGTTATTTTAAAACTATTCTCATTTATTTCTGGTCTTGGGTGTGAGCTTTTAAGAAATCTCAAACCATTATACGAGTGCCGCACACTCTGAAGTTCTTTTTTATTTATGCTATTCCAACCAAACAGTAGAATATGCTTGTAAATATGTACTGATTTAGTGTATATTTGTGAGTGTGCAACATCAAGAATGAAATAACTGAAAACAAATCACCTTATTAAACTAGATGCGCACTGTACTAGGCAAACAAATCACTTTGGATTATATGATTTACATTGAAAAATTGATTGGATGAAGTTTATGTGGAGTTTTGTATAAGTTAAAGCTTCGTGCTAGTTAGCACTTGTCAGATAGGTGTATCTACAATCATTATAGAAATGATGCTTTTTATATTACTCAATGTTATAGTCATGGAAAATACCATCAAGCTTTCCTCAGACATTGACTAACTTCCTACAGGACAGTTGTTTACATTAATTAGTCGTTAAGTAGTAATCGATGTAATGTCTGTCTAATAGTTAGATTTTTTTGAATTCTACTAATCATTAGGTTATATACTCGCTAGTCTATGTAACACACTAACATGAAGTCCTAGTGAACGAAGAAATAACCGGAAGCACTATTTGTAACACATTTGGTGAACATGAAGAAAGTTTTAGACAACCTCAACCTTTTTTTACTTACGCCTGTTAACCCCAATCGAGCATAGACCGCCGATCAGCATTCTCCAACCCACTCTGTTCTCTGCCTTCCTTTCCAGTTATGTCTAATTGTTGTTCATCCTTCTCATGTCTGTCTCCATTTCTCGACGTAGTGTGTTCTTTGGTTTTCCTCTCCTCCTTTAGTCTTGAGGATTCCATGTGAGGACTTGCCCTGTGACGCAGTTTGGTGCCTATCCACTTCCATCGCTTCTTCCTAATTTCTTCTGACGTTAGGATCTGGTTTGTTCTCTCCCACAATAGGTTGCTGCTGATTTTCTCTCGCCAACAAATTCGAAGTATTTTGTGTAGACAGCTGTTAATAAACACTTGTATCTTCTGGATGATAGCTTTTGTAGTTCTACAAGTTTCCGCCCTATACAGTAGAACTGTCTTGACATTTGTATTGAAAGTTCTGAATTTGGTATTGGTTGAAAGTTGTTTTGAGTTCCAGATGTTCTTCGGTTGTGAATATACTGATCTTGCTTTGCTCAAACGTTTTTTGGTAAAGTTTAATTATAATGCCGAATCAGTCAAAATCGACGGAAGGACTTCATGGACACGGAGAAAATGTCGATTTTTGAGATTATGGTATTCGCCAAGACGATTATCAATTTCAGTAATAAGTTTATTGTAAAACTTCAGATTTCTAATTATTTCACTCATCTACGATTGTGTTCATGAAATGGTGGTCAGATAATTCAGAGTAAGAGATGAAGTAACATTTAATTTTAATATAATTCAACAAGATAATGAAAAGAGATTAGGTATTTGTCTCTATTAAAGTTGAATCTCAAACAAATAGTACTTAGTACTATAAACCAAAATATTCACTGTAACTTTTATGGGAATTGTATAAGAATAATCTGTACAGATTGTACTTTTCGAAGTCTTATATCAGTTATACTACGTAATATAAATTGTTTTGACTACGAGAGTAAACACCAAAAATGTGTAAGGCATTTACAGTCACTTAAGGAAACTACTTACGATCATATTATGACTCTTAAGTGAAGATGGTCTGGAGTTGTACAGATGAATTTCTTTATCTAATTTTAAAAGATCAATAAGTAATCTGGAACAATAATATTAGCACTTCAATTCATGAATCGGACTAATACCACCGTTGAAAACCTGGAAGCACTAGACAGCTGTTTCGTTCTGGTATGGGACTCCTCAGATACGCGCATCCACGATCCCACACAAAGGACTCGAACCTAGGACCTTCGGTCTCGAGCATGAACGTTTATCCTCTAGACCACTGAGCCGACATCCAGTGGTTTTAATGTTTAACTTCAATCAATCCATGATCTTGCGCAACATTTCATCCATTGTCTGAGGTGGATGACTGTCCCACACTCAACACAGATCGGACTCCAGTAATCACGGCTTCTCATTAGAACTCCAGGAATTCCATCTTGAAGCTACTCGTTAGTGAATACATGGTGATTATTATCAGAACAGGGATTTGTGAAGATTGCAGTGATTTTATTGGTTGAATTCATAAGTCGATTTAAGTTAAACAACCATTACTACAATCTCTAAAAATTCCCACTCTGACAATAATATTACTTTGTAATTTACTATATTTCGTAGCGTTAATTACTCATTTTTATCTTCTCTTTTGTGATTGGCTAGACTGGGTCAACTTTACTTATGGTTATTTTACAAATTAGTCAAGTTAAAGGCTGTGATTAAACTTCGACATATATTTCGACCACCAAATAGATAATTTTATAGAAAATAGTCATATTAATTGCTGGAAACTTTGGAAATTAATGAAAACAGCTACCAAAGCAAAGCTTAAAGCAACCACAAAGAATTTTCAGTCAACCCTTAGGCAATCAGGAAAAAGATTATATAATTAGATAGTCTTCAAAAAAGAAAACAATAAAAGAAATGAGAAACAATATCGTATAAACTCGTCCTCGTGAATACAGATTGTCCGTCCTTATGAACCTTGATAAAGACATAAATATATTTCTAAGCGTTTTTGCATTGTTTCTAGTTAGGGTTAGGTATTCAGGGTAAGAGTTAGGGTACTAACCACACCTTGACATTAGCTTTAATGTAAAATTACTCTGTAGCCATATGAATAAATGAATTTAACACAAAATATAAGGGAAACTACCTGATCAGTTCATCCGTAAAACAGTACCATTAGGTCGAGGTTGGTTTGAAGATTAAAGGTTTAGGGTTAGGATTTAGGGACAGTGTCAGCTTGCCTGTTATATGCAATCTACAGAGAGAAAATTGAGGATTTAATACATTTGATACCATTGATTAGGATAGGATATACATTACAGAAATCATCAAACTGCATCACGAGGCAAGCCCTAACTTGGAATCCTGAAAGAAAACGGAAAAGAGGAAGATCAATGATCACATTACGTCAAGAAATAGAAGCAGATATGAAAAGGATGAATAACAACTGGAAAGCACTGACAAGGATTTCTCAGGACAGATTTGGATGGAAAATGCTGATGAGTGGCCTATGCTCCTCCACGAGGAGTAACTGTTGTAACTAAGTTTTTTGTTGTTGTGACACCTGAATAGAATAGTTTCATTTCAAAGTACACAATCCTTAATCCACTTGAACTCTATACAATGAATTCATGTTTACAACAAGACTTTTTTTGTTGTTCTTACCAAAAGATATCAGTTCCTTATAACCTCATTAATTCTTTTAGGTTCAATATTGAAGAAGAATGCTTGTCTTTATTGTTTCTATTCCAATATTCAATTTCAAGTTGTTGTTTTTATTTTCTTCTTAAAATTAAAACAATCTAGAAAATTATATAAAGTGTAGATCAAATTATTTTCAAATTTCATTGACTTATTTTCTGGAAAAAGAAAAAAATATTCATTTTGAAAAGGAACGAGTAAGAGGGAGAGAGGGAGAGGGAGGGAGGGAGGGAGGGAGGTAGGAAGCGAGGGAGGGAGGGAGCGAGGGAGCGAGGGAGAGAGAGAAAGAAAGTAATCACTCCAGGAAACTTTTGCTTTATAATTTTATTGAAACAAAAATTTTTGATTTATTTTTACTGTCCAAACGTGTTTGTTTTTTTATTGGATTTATCGATATATATAAATATATAAAGAAATAATTTATTAATATATATTTTATTCCACCCCCCCCCAAATTACGGATAGTAATAATAATGTTATTAATACAAGTATTAACGAAGTCAAACTTTCGCCATTTCACCATTTTAGTTTATTTCAAATATTCACTCATTCATAAACTTCACAATACAATGTCCTTTTACTAAGAGAGAGAAAAAAAAACAAAAAGAAAAGAAACTGACTACTTTTTTTTAACGAATTGACTTGTCATTAAGTTGAATTCTTTTTTAGAGAAAAAAAAACACAGTGAAAGTAAATTCAATGACATGGTGCAAAGTGTGTATTTAAGTTTGTGCTCATGTATGTATATATGTGTCTATGTATGCACATATATGTATGTGAATGTATGTTTGTGGGTAGGTAAGGTAACCAGTTAATGAACAAATATTTCGTAGACTATAACCATAATATAATGTATACCAAAAATTGAGAGAGATTGAATGAAATACATACAAATCTATGATATATGAAAAAATAATTTGGGGGAGAAAAACTTTCTATGTATATTTGAATAGATTTTCCCAAAAATCTGTCATCAACTTGCACAAAACATTCTATAAGTTATAATATTTTCTTCATATTTGAAGTCTTTTGTTATTATTTTATTATTGTTGTTGTTGTGTTGGTTCAAAAGTTGTGTACTTTTATATATATATACACACACACTCACTTGCATGTGTGTGTGTTTGTTGCTCAACAGGTATACATTTATAGGTGTAACAAAATAATTCTTTTTTTACCTACAGAACGGTCTTTATCCACGCTTTCCTTCTAGATGAAATCTTTCAATTTAATTAAGAATATAGTTTTGCCAGGGGGGGATAAAAAAAGCACTAAGGAAGGGTGTGTGTGTGTATGTGGCAAGGACGAAATAATTAATCTACCATATAAATTTATACAACTGTCAGGTTTAAATCATTTTTATTGACTTCAATATCCAAATGATATATGGTCATATTTATT